AGAAACCAAGTGCAGTAGACGTAGTAACTTAGTAGCAGGCTCAAGCCAAATGGGTCACGCCCGTGTTGCAGCTGCTTCGGCACCGGAGGTGCAGAAAAGGACAGATTTCTGCAAGTCACGTCACTGTCACCGTGGGCGCCTTTCACAAGGGTCTGTCTGCCTCTCTCTCTCTCTCTACCGGGACAGGAGAGGAAGCCCCTTCCGCGCGCGTGCGCGCACCCGTAGGTCACGGGGTTTTACAGACTCCCCAGGAAGGTTTCCTCCGTGGGGCTCAGCTGTGCACGGGCCCAATGGCGAAGTCCCCCCGGTAACAACAGTAGGAAAGACAAAGCATTCTGATCTAGTAACAGTTCGGGACTCCCCCTGTGTTGCACCTGTGGAGTTGCAGCAGACCTCTATTGAACTTCAAGTGGACACACAAACCCCCGCGTTACCGACACTGCCGCTGCGAGCAGCGAACTGAGGCTCCGGCCACCACATGGGAAGGGGCTTCACAGGCTCACAAAACAACTGTGCATTCATGGTTAATACTTCACATCCCCCACTGAAGTGGCCAGTAGCAGGCCAAAAGGTAACTACCCTGCTCTTCGTTCCCCCTGTTGGAGTTGAAGCCTAAACCAGCTTGAGGGAGCCACACTAAAATGTGAGGAAAAGCGAGTAAGAGGATGGTACTCCCCCAGCATTGCTTTGAGCACGTGTGAGAGTGACGTGACCGCAGGTATGCAGTGTACATGGATTCCGAGTAGCCACCCCCCCAAAAGGATTCCGTATGTCCCCGTCGTAGTGCCTGGGGCCTGGGGGTGATTGTACTGAACCGACACAGGCATCACAGGATAAACGAGTAGGTGGATAACGGCTTGCAATATCACAGGATCCCCCTGACGGCACTGTGGACAGTTTTGTATGCATACCGTGGTTGGTTGTGTCGCTGCTGTTCTTTGTCCCCCCGGACAAAGATTGTCGAAAAGGCAGAGTACAACTGTCGAAAGGGTGATCTCTCCCCGGGGTCGCATCGAACAGTTCGTCGGTTACGGCCCCCCTTCTTGTAGATGTGCTTGCATTGCTGCCGAAAGGATCCCCCTGTGGTAATTACCGCAGGAGGCTCGGCTATACATGGAAGCCCCCCGGAGGGTGGCTATACACTGCATGGCCGATAGAAAAGGCATCCCCCAGCTGACAAGCGCAAACACAGAAACTGACCGTGCAAGCATCGAGCAATAAGAATACAAAGGAGGGGGCCCAGGTATCAGCTGCGGGATGTTGTTCGGGGTAGCGAGAAAAAACATGCTGTTTCCCCCTGTTACGTGTGAACAGGACCTGGCTATTTTCACGGAAGGGACAGAAGGTGAATTAAGTCTCGCAGTGATCCCCCCAAATTAGTTAGTTGGCCGGAACAGGTTGAGCTACAAGGTGAGTTAAAAAGAAGCGAAGATTGAGGGCACTGTGTCCCGATGTACAAGTTGAACGAAGAGTGGCAAAAGAGCCTAAAAGTTCACACCTGCACTCAAGTCCCCCTCAGATGGCAGTCAGAACTTTTTGCAAGGTCGCCGCTGATACCACGAAGCATTGGGCTCCCCCAGGTACAATGTATGTTGTCCCCCGTCAGCTGCTCGGTGTTCTCTCTTTTCGCGCTTTGGCCATGTCTGCTTGTACACGTCGGACATCCAGCCACATGGGGCTAGGTGTCAGCTGGGCACGTCCCCCACAGCCATACTCAGCGCTGGGCCCTTGTCGGAGGGGTGGGTCTCCCACCGGCTCATTTGGTCGCTCCCATCAGAGGGTCTTCCAGCAGTTCCCCACGGCCACTGTTGGTCTTGAGCTTCTTGTCTATTGTCATCGGAGCTTCCCCCCCAATCGGGGCTGTCGTGGGTGGCTCGATCTTTTCTCACATGCCAGTCAGCTACTCGGCTTCCATCCTTTTTCCCATGCTCCCCCGCTGTGTTCACTGCGTGCTCGTTCAAGGTTTCGGCCTTCTCCTCACTCTTCACCACAGGGGTTCTTTCTGCCCCTTTTCTTTTCCTGGTTGTGTTGGCTGTAGTCGAGGGCTGCGTTGTGGAACTGCGGCTCTCCCCCTTGCTGGCTCGGAGTCGCTTGCGTATCTTCTTGACCCTTTTCAGAAGAGACTCCGCTTGCTCAGGGAAACGGCAGACATAGGCGCGCGTCTCGTCGGCTTGAAGTGGTAAATATTTGTCCACCATGCGGACCAGCTTATCAGCTGTATCCCCGACCTTGTTTCGACCACGGTGTCGCCGAAAGAACTTTCCATATGCTTGTGCTTGTGCCTTGTTGAGGATCTCCCCTGTTGAAGTGTCTTTCCATCCCCCCCCCCAATTTTGACAATGGGTCTATTGATCCATTCGTCCCCCGGTCCGGGATTGTAGAGGAGCATGAGTCCCCTTCTCGTCTTGAAGCCGGTCATCTCTGACAGTGGGCGGCTCGAGCTTCATTCTGTTTTGCACGGCTGCTTTGGGCAGCCTCCCCCGACTGCTTCTTTGCACGTGCGATGGGCACGTTGCCTCTCGAGGTCACGCCATGTAGTCGGCATTGTGGGTCCTGTCTATCGTGGACCTTCCTTAGTCCCACGGTGCACGTACCATCACTGTACCTGCAAAGCCTGCACCGTGCCCCCCCACCGTCCCCTCCGCATAGGTGTTCATCACGATGTCGCCCGGCAGGAGTATCACGGACTTTGAAGTCTTGTTCTCCCCCACCCAGTGTGCAGGTTCTGTGAGTTCGGCTTGGTGGCGTAATCCAGGAAGCCCTCGATGCAGAAAGTTGTGACCTCCCCCTCAGGAATGAACCTAAAGAAGCTCTTGCAGTGCCGCGTTCCCCCTCAGGGTTGTAGAATCACGAACGTGCCGGTCACCTTTATGGCTCGGACTAAAGACCTGTTCGCGGGCCACTGCAAACCACACGGCAACGGACGATGGACTCAAGCCAACCTCCGCTCAAGGGAACGTCCACCCAAGGGAAGTACTGGGGGACAGCCAGTACCCCCCAAGGGCCGTCCCTGAGCGCCCCCCGAAAGGAGCGGCAGGCAGACTTGAGCCAAAATGGCTACGTCTCTCTCTCTCTCTCTCTCTTCTTCTCGCAGATTTGTCTGTCTCTCTTGCTTGCTCCAGAGTAAAGGCACGCGGGCGGGCCTCCCCCCGTGGGACTCTGTCCGTCCGGCGTCCACACCCAAGTCCGCGTGAAACAACGGGACTTCCCCCGATTGACACCTTTGGCCTTTCCTCGCAGCCTATCACCGCACATTAAGTCCTGCGAACATGCTCTGGGGCACAACACATTTCAACTGCACTCTGAGGCCGCTGCCTTTTTGCGAGGAGACTCTCTCTAAGTTCTGAGTACTAGGCGGCAGCCCCGAGTACCGGTGAGATCTGATGCCGCAGGAGCGTGACGATCCGCTTTAGGTAAACCAGCTGAGGATCCCCTCGAAAGTTTTAGCGACGACCCCAGGTTTAGTCACAGGGTCTCTCTCTCTCTCTGGCTTTCATGCTCCACTTCCAGCTGTCAGGCGTACAGATGCTTTCACCCAACCTGCATGCGTCATTTAATGGGATCGTTGCGTAACGAAAGTGTCTGTGCCTGTGGGCTTCGACAGAACCTCATCTGTGCCAGGGTTCTGTTGATTGGCAACTGCATGCAAAGCTTCCCATTCTGTTCTGTCCCTGCAACAATGGCAAGGCTCTCGCGATCTTCGCAACTGCGGAGGCAGGTGCGCAAAAACAGCTGGAAAGGCGGACAGCAGCTCACCGGCGAAGGATCCGTTTCTCTGTAGCTCCTGACGAGCAAAAGAAACAGCCATCTTCAATGGCCACCGCACGTACTGAAAGTATTCCATCCTGGGCCTGCGAACCACACATCTCTTTGTCATGCTGCAAATCTCAGGTCATGCCATGTCACCGGCACAGCTCGCACAGTCGTGCGACTCGCAAAGCACAGCATGCCAAGCATGAGGCTGTGCATGGAAAAAAATCGACAACCGCCACACCACCTTCATTGCAGCCTCGTTTTTGCTCAACCGGACGACTCTGCCGGATGTTGCAACTCAACATTCAACTCTTGCTCTGCAACTACTTAGCCCGCGCCCCTTGTCCCGAATCTTCTCCACACTGGGATTATGCAGGCCGCTTCTGCGCATTGCCCCGCTGTGAGTACCCTGAAAATCCCGGAATACTGTGGATCTCCCTACAATGCACCTAAAGACACGCAAGCATGGCCCGGCGCCTCTGTAACACACCCGGCCGCCCGAGCCGACACGCGCACCGCGTTGACGATGAAATCATGGTCGTTTCGCAGTGCGTCACTTGCAAATTCCAAGGCCAACGGGCACTCGCGAATAGCCGTCAAAACGACGTCACCTCGAAGTGTGCACAAGCCATTTTGCGACTCGCACACCGCAGCCGAAAGGTATACAGGCATACATGATTTTGAAGCGAGTCGCGGTCTGCTCTCAGCGACGAGCTGGCATGCCGCAGAGAAAGCCCGTTCCGCTTCACTGCTTCGGTGACCATTTCCTGCTACTGACACAAAAGCACAATTCTGGCTGAAATGCTTCATGCCACCATCATGTTATGCCCTTGACCCGGCCGGGCATTCCCGGACATGCCTTGTCGCCACGTAATGTAGGAGATGCCTTACACGATTCGGATACCCGGCGAGAGGCCAAGCAATGCTTATTTTCAGGCTCGGAGCATGAGCGAGGGCTCTGCCTTGACTTGCGTGCACTGCTGCGAGGACGATGGCCCGATCGCTGCGCGCACCTCAGCCCATGATGTCACACCTTCAGGCGTTCTTACTCTGCTCTGCGTGCTGCGTGCCCTCGTCAAGTTCCTCAAGCTGAACTTCCCCAGCCGCGATGTTCGCCAGCAGTCCTTGGTGCCGCAACCAAACACACCGGGTCTGCTCAAGCGCTTGGACAAGGTCCAGGCAATGAATACTGCTTGCTTCCATGTCTCCAGCCCAGACAGGGGGAGAGCGGACAAGGCTGAGCTCCGGCTGCGTGTGGTCCACCACATCTGCAAGGATGGCATCGTCGTGCGCAACCTCCAGCTTAAGTCTGCGAAAAACTGAACACGGGCATTGCTCCAAGCTTATCATGTCCGAGCCTGGCCATTGGCACACAGCAACTTCTGTGCGCTGAGTTTCGTCCCTTCCTTGCGCTCGATGCGCTCCTGTCCCACTCAGTGGGCGGATACTTTATCGCACACACATCCACAAAAGGCGGAAGCCCTCCTTAACGTCCCAGATGGTGCCGTTCAGTGACGTATTCGCCAACGAGCATACCTCGCCCCCAGTCATCGCCTCGGGTTGCGACCGTCTGAAGTCGTCACGGAAGAACACTAACGTGATTGCTTGAACAACGTTCATGCTTGCAGACTAGCTGAGTGGCCGTCTCTTCTAATTCAGGATGTTTCAATTTCGAATCTACACGGCCCTGAATCGTGCAGGCACAGGATACGAGAGGCGGAATCCCCAAACAGGCTGCTATCAACGGGCTGGCAAAACGCAGAAAACAGAGCATCCCAAACGCAGCCGTGGCGGTGATCATAAATGGGACGCAAACAAGTAGATTCATCTGCGAAGTGTCTACGCCACCCATCACCACCCCAAACCGCCCCAACCCCCCCCCCAGAAACCTGTTTGCAGTACTGCCGGCTACACCAACAGCTGTACAGCCAGTAGGTTTTTGCACGGCTTGCAGCTCGGGAACTGCAACGATCTGCAAAGTCACGGTGCCCTCGAAAAGCCTGAAATCTGATTCTTCCCTTCTCAAACGCTTGTGCACACTGCTCATGCTTTGCCTTCGCATCGAAGTCGCTTGTCCTTCACTTGGCACTGCTGCCGCCATTGGTGGTCGACCAATTTCCTCCTCATCGAGCTCGTCGAAGTCGAAATACCTCAGAGGAACAGTGCACAGGTGTCTGGACACACTACTTTGACAGGCTGCTACGAAAGCTAAAAGGGATTGGGCGGCAGAGAAATTTCCTGGGAAATTCCCGTACGCATGCTTACGTACATGAGATGCTTCTTGGACCATTCTAATTGGCAGGATATGGCAGGATCAACCACCAAACTCCGAACCCTGCAAGTTCTGCAGCATGTCCTTGGTCCACGAGCGGCAGCCCACCGAAGGCAACCCAAAACCAGTGTCAAACGCTTTACCTCCTAGACAAGCCACCATTTTTCAATGTCTCTCGTCGCCCATAAGTCCATGAGTGCTGAACACTCTTTGCCTTTACCAATAGAGCTCTTTCCCCTTTGTGCAGGTCTTGATGTGAGCCATTTTAGCGGGTGACAATGGGCCTCCTGGTGTCTGAAGCACCTAGTAGTATGCTCTATATGCTCTACTCTAGTGGGATTCTGCTTGTATCTTGTGCGGTGGAGGGGACCGGGGTTCCCTTTCCCGCTTTCCAGGCATGCTTTCCCAAAAAGGAGCGGGGACTTCCGCCTGGACCCCATGCAAGTCATCCATGAACTGTTGATAGATCAAAACTGAAGGTCCTAGAGTGTTTGCCGGCCCCATGTCGGAGGAGCGTGACATGGCAAGGTGCAGAGTTGGCTTCTGCGACCACAGCGATGCGGCACCAGTTTGTGCAGGACTGTTATTCTCCAACACGAGCTGTGCACCTCAGTATGGCTTGCCGATCGCGGGCGGATAAAAGCAACACTCGACAGCTCAAACTGGCCATTGCGAAGCACACTCATGCAAAATGATTAAGCTGGGCTTCAGATTTGGCAATTGGCAGTGCAACCAAAGCTGGCTCGCTTGCCGCTGGTAGCATTCAGCTGCTGCAGTGCTGACTGGAAGTCACGGGCTGCATGTTCAACCATCTGCCATGGCACTACTGCGACAATGCATGGGAACACGGTGCTGGCGGCTGTGAGAAGACAAGAAAACAAGGGCACAAGCGCATCGTAGTTCTTGGCCCTCAGCACTGCCGTGCTCGAAACGCGTGGCAGACGGGTCTTGAGCTGTCGTGCTGTCGGTCTTTTTCCTTCTGTCGTTCTGCTCACTGCTCACAGCAGTCAAGGGTGAAACCTCGAGGCTCAGTTGGTCGCAATCTGGTTCACTATCTGTCCTGCTAACCGCCGCTCAATGTGAAGACCGGCTGCTTTCCATCTCTTTGTCAGCACATTTTCCCATTCCTGAACGGTGAAAGAGAACAGACGTTTCTGCAAACAGTTGGTGGGGTCCGGTGGGATGCGCCTCTTTCAGCTCGGGCCCAGCATAGGGGAGAGCTTCCTGTCTTGCAAAAGGAGGCGTGCTCTGATTACGGATGACACATTTGCCCATCCGAGCAGCTGTTGTATTCTCAATGGCCATATCAACCACTTCTTTGTCGGCCCGGAGTCTTTCCGAAGCGTGCTTCAACGCTCGACCGTTCTGCTGCACAGCTGCTGAGCACACCTCCTTCGGAAGTTCGAGAATGATCAGAACCAACGGCCCGCAAGATGCTCCTTGTCGTCACGTAAATGTTCGGCAGCATGGCGCAGTGCTTGTCCACACTGGCGCACAGCTGCAAGAACCTTGGAGAGAGATGCCAAGACCAGTGCCACAAACGGAATGAGGAACCCGCACACACCACTTGTGAAGTCAGGGACTACATCTCTGTCGGCAGCCAGTGGCTCAGCAGCCAGACCTCGCCAAAAGTGTAGCCCAACTTGTGACACCAGTCCAAACAGATTGAGTCATGTAGCAGCTGTGCCATGTCGCCAAGCTGGGCATGGCACGCAAGGCAGTTCCGACTTGTCGCACAGCCGCGAGAACGACGTCCTGTGCAAGATCGCGTGCTTCCGGACCATGGTTTCTACATTTCGAAGGTGTTCTGAATCGTGCTCCAAGACACTATCCTGCCAGCAAATTCAGTTTGTGCTGTCCCATCACAACATGCATCGACACACGTTGACCTCTACTCACTGCAGCTCACTGCTCGAATCTGGATTACGACATGACCCCAGCTGCGTGAAGCGGACGGCGAAAACCACCAGACTCCTTGTCTTGCTTCATATTTTCAGAGACGAACATAAGGGCAGTGCCATCTGCAGCGACCGCCTTCAATGCCACCTGTTTCATGATTGCGGGTGCCAAGACTTGGACGCACGTGAGGGATGCCTCTTTCTGCTCCTTCAAATCAGGTACGGCATGAATCAAAGCGCGACCATCCTTCTGCACAGCATGGGCTACCTGGGTGTGACAGACACGGCCAGTGGAAATGCAGCCCCGCACGTGAGGATGCAGCTGCGGACTGTGAACTTGGGTCGTTTTGCACCTGTGAGCAAAGTACCGGCTTGACAGCTTAGATCACCAGCTTGGGTGCAGCGCGTGTGCATGGCACCTCCACGGCTGCAGCTCCCCACAGTGCAAGGTTCGCGCCGGGTCGAAGGAGTTCGTTTTCCTCCTACAATGGTTCCACCGGCGATATTGTTGATTAGCGTGTGACTAGTGCTACACACGCTATTTCATTCGCACGCACCTCCGTTTCTTCCCCTGCATCGGCCATAGTGCATGGGCTCCGCGCGGCAAGACGCAAAAACAACAGTTGCAACTTTGCTGCATGAACCTTCTTGGATAAATTTCTGCTAGCAAGGCCCTCGGTTGTTCTGGCGGCAAAATGTGCTTGTGTTGACTTGATTTGACCTACGCAAGCTTGCCAGGCATGCAAAAAGCAACCTGAGGATGGACAATGGCATATTGCCTCAAACATGCATTTTTTTACAATGCACCTTTTTGCAACTGCGATTAAAGGGGGGTCCGGGTCCCTGTGCCAACTGCTGTCTACGGCGGTGGCACGCCTACGCACGGGCAGGGAGGCGG